TTTCTTTAATGTTAAGACACTTCGCAATCTGAGTTTTGTTAATCGTTAGCGAAATAAACTCAATGTCCTGAGAAATATTGTACAAAGACTTGTTGATTTAAAAACAAGTTTAAGCTGGGCATGGTGAAGCATACCTAAAGTTTCAGCTACACTTAGGAATATAAGACTTGGCAACATAGCAAGATCCCTTTTCAAAAATAAATTTTAAAATAATATTAATCTTTTTATTTTTCTTCTCTCTTGTTCTATTTGACCCTCAAGGACAATATTTTATACATATATATATATGTGTATATATATATATATATATAATTTTAAATAACATTATATATAGTATATGTCAGATATGTAATTTATATCTAAGATATGTCTATAAAACTATATTCTTACTTATTTTTCTAGTATTATCTAAAAATAATATATTCTCCTTCAGTATTTCATAATTCATGATAAATTTAAATAGCTTCATCAGGTAAATTTGATATATTTTCAATCTAAAAATCTTCTCAGCTATTGCTTTAGCCCCTAGCTTGATCTTAGGGTATAGGTATTTCTTTGCTGCTGAACACTGTCCTACTTATTTTTAATCACACATTTGTAACTTATTAAAACTTGACCCACCACTTGGTCAGATTTTCCACTTTATCCTAATATACTGAAAAGGTAAATCTGGCCATGCGTCTTGCAGATGACCCACACAGAACATGAACTTCTCCTGTACACTTCTGAATTTCATATTCCTTTAGATTAAATCTATGATTCCCCTCTAATTCTGGCCATTTGTTTTCTTTAATTCATTGACTTTGTTTTTCAGGCTATTCTTCTTTCTTTCATTAGCATCCTAAATCCCATCTGTTCACTCAGTGAGGCTGCTTTTCACCTTTAAATCCTCACCATGGCCTCTCTGAATGTAGACCTAGGAGGTAGGAAACTTTGTATTCTGATTTCTAGTCCTTGATTCTCATACCCTTTTGGACTATTATTCTATCAGCTTAGATGTAGGACTGGTGAAATAAAGATATTGTTAATTCCTACCTTAAGTGTTGGAAATGTTTTTTCGTTGGATTTTAGATAGAGTTTACGAGAATGGAAGCCAATGCTATTCATCTTACAGACTCTAAAATACTTCTACATTTAAGCACCTGATTCAAAGACATAGAATGAAGCAAAATGATTTTTTGTTATTTAGGATGAAATTAATTGCAAATGTCTTATCTAAGTAGCATGCATATTTTATTCAAAGTATAGGCTGAATTCCTTACATTTATCAATTTAAAAGAAAATTTAGATTAAGTCTAAGAGCTTAAAGAAAAACAGAATAACCGTTTAGAACATTTTCAATCAGTGAATAAACTAAAATAGTGATTGCAATAGAGTTATAAATTCTGAGTACGACCTTATATCAGAGTTTCTCAACTGTATCAGAACTGATGTCTCATTGATTCACCAAATGTTTTGTTATCCTCAAATGTTTTGTTTATTTTACTGTCCTAAAATGAAATTCAGAGAAAATGTAACCATTTCTGAAAGATCAACATGTTTCCATAACTGTAATATAAAGGAGAAATAAGAGAAAGGCAGTTTATAATCAAATTATATCTATTTCAATATAATAGGGTTCAAATATAACCATGCTAGAGATAACAGTACAATAATCATAGACATTAAAATGCCTTTAAAAACACTAAGTATGTGAAAAAAATTCCACTTAATTGCTGAATAAAATGATAGAGCAGGAAAATGGTTGGATAGCAAAATAAAAAGTCTCTATTAGAGTAAGTGATAATAGGTTAGATGTACATATAAATTTTGTAAGTGGGTAATAATGGAAATAATAATAATATGCCAAGACAAATGGGAGAAATTATGAAGTATGGTGTTCTCACAAGTGAGATGGTCCTTACTTTTAAGCACAAAGTCAAAAAGATTCTGTGTGCGATAAAATGCAATAACAAAAAATTGCACAAAAGAAAGAAATAACACGAGGTATTAGGGCATATATTTATCTTCATATTTTAAAAATTTGCAAATTATATTCTTTATTAGTAATGAGAAATAGAAGATGAACTGGAAAAAGAAATGACCTTTCAGCCATTATAGAGTAGTTGTGTCAGATCTTCAGGAAATTATTAGAATGAGATTGAAAACTAACATGTAACTCCAGGGCAAGTAAATAATCTCAAAGTGTTTATTTTTTTTAGCCAAAAAAAAAAATCACACATCATTTCACATGTACAGAGAAAAATAATAATGAAGAATATTTTGAAAGAAATTTTGTTTATGGTTTTAGTATGATTTCTATAATTATCTGCAAATATAATACTTGAACCCAATACTGACAAAAGGAGACTCAAATCTCTTAGTTTACATGTTTTTATGTATCAAGTACAAACACAGACTGTAACCTGAACTCAGAAATTTTCATCACCCAAATGGCACACGCAATGCATCACTAAAATAACTTTCCAAAATAGCCAACAACTTTTAATAAAGTTGTTAACAAAATGATGTATAATATTTTCTCTTCCCGTTAGTTGTAGCTCTGAAAATTTTAATGTTTAGAAAGGCCATGTAAAAAATAAATTGTTCTATTTTGATTAAACTGGTTCAAGGCTCGGTACATCATCAACAGATTTTAATCAACACAGATGTCCTTAAACATGCGAGGCTATTTTTTTCAAGGTGAGAGAATTGTGATATTTAAATTCTTCCATCATTGTGACAATCAAAAAATGCCCTAACAAATGCCCCCTTGGGTGAAGTACTGCTATAGTTGAGACCATTTGGTTATGAGTGTAATCAATTTAGAGTTTATTACAACTGATCACAGGACAATCAAAGTACACCAATGGTGTCTTTCCGATTATTATCATCATAGATGGTCTCTGCTTTACCCAGAAGAGCTCTGAAGACAATTTGCTACAGATATACAACATAAATAAGAACTGGGTAGAAAAATGAATTGAAAGATGGATTTAAAGGATTTTAACAAAATTTAGCCATATCCCTGAGCTCACCATCTCTAGTCCCTTGTCTATATCCCTGTGCATAGTGAAGTTACTTTATAAGGAGGGAAAATATAGCATTAGAGTTAAGAAAAGGGAAATGTTTAAGAAGTTTGAAGTTCTGGTTTATTTTTCACATTTTAAATGTTAAGATATGTGTCTATAAACGTAGAAATAAAATCCTCTCAACAGGAAAACACTATCTGGAATATATTACAGTAAAATATGAGTGGGTGAGGAAGACACTTCTACAAGGACCTGGAGAGACCTATCTAAAAATGAACCAATTTGGTGCCACTTTGTGATACATTGCTATCCTATGCTACAAATAGGAGCAAGAGTATCTGCATACAAATCAGCAAAATTGAGACAATAAATACCCAAAGAGCTCAATGACACTTTTTAACTAATAGACTTGAATAATTTCATGGGAAACAGAGAAAGTGAATTGCACTGCAGCTCAAGAAATACAATATTTGTTAAATACTGGAACATTTTAAAAATTTACCTCAAACTTTCATAATAATAAATAATCATAAACTTTTATAAAGAAATATAGTGATTTTCCCCACAGTAACATGAATATACTAATTGGTATTCTTAACATTATATTTGACATGAGTTGATTGATTATTGGAATCAAAAATATAAAGTCTATATATCTGATTTTAAAGTGTTTCTTCCTTGAGGTTTAAAGTATGTTTTAATTCCTAAAATGTGTATATTTAATTCTGAACAGGAGAAATGATAACATAAAGCAAAATACATCCACTAGGAAATTCATCCATGCTATTTGTATGTTTTAACCACTCTCTGAGGCAGAAAGATACTGTCTGACACTAATGGTCTCAGGATTTTTATAAAATTCTTCCTGATAAAAATTTTAAGAGCTAGATAATGGTATTAGTAATACCCATCACACAAGAAACTCTTTGGAGCATTTCCTGATTCTTCATAAGCAACAGACAATAGATTCATCTCAAAAGATGTAGCTGGTCAATCTAGTCACCTTCAATAAGGGAACAAGGAATCTTAGCACATTGTCAAGAATATGAGAAGTAACCAGGATCTACCCACATATATTCTGTTACATAGCTATTGTCACTTCTATTGTAAATTATATTTGCCAGAGCACTCTTCCTGTATGGTTTTTATAGTTGCTTTTCTTTTTTCTTAGAAAGCATTCAGTCTTAAATCTAAATGAAAGAAAAAATGAAAAGAAAAGAAATATCTAATAGTTCCACCCAGGAAACTGTACACACACTCACATACACAATTGAGTACACACACTCACATACACAGATCTCATATTCTCTCTCTGTCTCTCTCTGTCTCTCTCTCTCTCTCTGTCTCTCTCTCTCTCTCTCTCTCTCTCTCTCTCTCTCTCTCTCTCTCTCACACACACACACACACACACACAAAGGGAACTTCTCAGCTTCATCTGGGTTTAACTCTTCTAGACTTCGTGGATCATTTCAAAAAGTAGCAGAAGCATATGCAAAACCCAGTTGGCTTGTCCCTTCTCAGTGACACATAGAATGGAGTAACCCAAATTGGTGTAGGATAAAAAACTCATTAATAAATTTCAAGGCCAACATGATTTTAACCATAGGCACACTCATGCTTGAATAATCAATCCTCAGACTATAAAACAAAATTTATTAGAAACATTGAAGATATAATTTGGCCAGTCACAGGGAGTAGAGTTTTTGCTCTTATTACAGCCCTTAATGAAATAATCCAGTTAACAGCTCAAGCTGCCTTTTGCTGTCTGGATGCACATCTAGGACCCTGTCTTAGCTTCCCTTATTCACATGTTGCTCCCTGTACAGAAGGTGACCCTAAGCCCTGTCTTCAGGTATCAACTGACTGTACTTAGTCACAATTGAATCAGGGTCACTTTGGTCATGGGTCATTAACAGGGCATTTAGGACCATTTCTTTTTTTCTCTTCCTTCTAATATTGTTTTTTAAAAAATGCTTTCCAATTTTTTAGGGCCTTTTAATCATATCAAGTCAAGCCTCCTGGGGTCCACGTCGGATTCAAACCTCAACAAATACAGCACCATTAACAAGATTCCACAGCTCACTCTGAATTTTTCAGATGTCAAAACTGAAAAAAAGAATACATCCCCTCCTTCTTCAGATAAAACTATTATTGCACCCAAGGTTAAAGATCGAACACACAATGTGACAGAGAAAGTTACCCAGGTAGGACGCAATTTTACTGTCAATTTCAACTATTTTTGAGGTTATTTTCTGCACCATAAACCATATTCTTTTTCTTTTGAATGATTATCATAAAGGTAAGACATTTATATGTATTCCTATTTGTCTTGAGATGTTGGTGACCCTATAATGTAACAGATAAATGAAGCTGTATACTGTGATTTTTATGTATTACTAGATCAAGCAAAACTGGGTAACTGGTATTATTTCTGTGTTGTAGAGGTTATTAGCCTGCTATTCATCATGTTTGAACATTTATTGTTTTGCTGCCAAGTCTCATGTTATTAAAGCATTTTTAAAAATACAATGGATGCGTCTCTTGACGCTTTAGAGGACTAATTGGGATTCACTCTTAGCTATGGTCTCTTTTTTAGATCAACTGTACCAGATAAAGTCAGCTCTAAGTCACTTGACTTAGGGAAATAGCTGTCTGAGATGATGAAAAGTCAGAGTGAAACAATACTTTTGTACAGGAACAATGTTTTACTGTTTTCTAATAAATATTGCCACTTGAGCTAGAGTACAATATAATATCTAGATGAGGTCTTACTTCAAAGAATAGATATAAATATGATTTGTACTTACTATATCAAAATACCAACCTAAGCAGCACCTAGCTTTTGCTTACAATGCACTTACATTGTTAGGAATTCATGACTCTGAAATTTGTCAAGTAAGCAATTTTTATACAAACAAGTTACTTATTGTATTTGTTTAGTAAGTCTTTGTATAAACTGTCCACAATATATAGGTAAACTTGACCCCAATCTCCATCCCACGTATTGAGGAGTTTGAACTAATAAATTGTTCCTGTTATTTTAATCACTACATATGTTATAGTGCTGTCTGCACCTAACCTTATCTGTGAGCTGAAGTAGCTATGAAAGGCAATGAAGCAGTTATGAACAGATGTGAGCAATCTATATTTATTTGAAATGAGAAATCATGTGTACCATTTGTGAGCACGTCCCTAGTACATATTTCCATGATTGTGTAGTAATGAGGTGCTCTACTCTTATAACTTCACTTTTCTTAACTTATAGGTAAAATAGTTACAGTAGTTTTGAATAAAAAGACTACCATTGTGCAAACTGTATTTACACCATTTCTATAACTTTGAATCTTACTCATGATAGTTTTTCTCTTAAAAATATTTTACAGACTTGAGAAGAGATAGAAAAATGATTGGAAATATTAGGGTCAGGACTCTGAAAGTGGCCTTAATGAGTAAAGTTGACAGAGTAGCACAGATAGTACTCGGTATGGTGAGAACTCCTGAGTACAGGGCTCTCTAAAGCAAAGGAGCTGACACTCATCTCCAGCCCACTGTGGCCAGGCAGCAATATTTGACCAATGAATGTTTCCAAATCTTCCAATTTAAAGAAGACGCTAGAAATCTAGAAATTAAAATACACTTTTCATTCACAGAAGTTGTTATATTAATTTTAAAAATGCATTTGTATTCTTTATAGAACAAACAAAACACCAACCATGATGTCAGCAATGCTCTCATGAGTTGCTCCACCACAGGCCCCTGTTTTGCCACACTCAGCAGATCCACTGTGCTAGGAGAGCAATGCTCATGTGGATTAGAGAAGGCACCTTCTTAGGGACTTTCTCATCCTGGTATAACAGGAAACAGATATAGAGATAGCCACAATGAAATGCATGGTAATAAAGAGTATAGGATCACAGGTTTGGGAGGAAGTAACTGTGCTTTAAGGAGAGACTTTTCGGAGGAGAAAACAAAGTGGGCTTGAATATTTATGCTGGATCAAGAAAGTTATTTATCAAACTGGCTAGTAAGTGATGTTTGAGAGCATAAATCAGAATCAAACAGGCATGTATTATAATTCTGGCTTAGTCACTTATTGTGTACCACAGGGACAAGAGTAACACTGAAGCAATCTGAAGGACTGACAAAACTTATTTCTCATGATTGATATAGGACTTAAATAGAATACTATGTGGAATGTTTCATCATGGTGCTAAGTACATAACAAGCAACATTCATCACTATTATTTTTTACTGTATGAATCTTCTTACTCGCCTTATCATCTCTGAAGAGTAACCTTTATCTCTGCATCCTCAGGGGCCCATAGGATACCTGGCAAAGTGGAGTTCATCAAATTTTACAGAAGAAAGGAAGGAAGGGAGGAAGGGTGGGAAGAAAGGAGAGAGGAAGGAAGAAGTTAACCAAAGGAAGGGATTTCATAGAGAAAAAAATAACAAGAACAAAGTTATAGAAACAACTTCCTGGGCCAATGAAAGGAGAGAATGGGAACTTTCCATTCTAGATGATTCTTTACTACCTTCTTACATAAGTACCTTGGTAAAATGCAACATCCTTCATCAAAAGCTTGATGCTCTTTTAAGGTCTCACGCTTCATATTTCAAAATCCCTATAGTTTATATATTTAGCTCCATAATAATATTTATTTAAATATCTTTAAAAAATTTAAACTATTACAATAGACTAAATGATTGTGTTCCCCCTCCCCCAAATTCATATGTTGAAACCTAATCCTAGGTGTGACAGTGTTCTGAGATGGGATCAATGGGAGGCTTTAGGTCATGAAGGTGGAACCTCATAATTGGGGTTAGTACCTTTGCAAAAGAACTGCCTGGGCCCCTACTGCCGTGTAAGGCACAATGAAAACGTGGTCATCTACAAACAATATAACAAACCCTTACCAGGTGCCAAATCTACCAGTGACTTGATCTTGGACTCCACCACCTCAGAACCGGGAAAAATAGATTCATGTTGTTTGTTAGCTACTCCGTTGATGGCATTTTATTACAGCAACCCAAACAGACTTACACTACTCACCACTAAGTAGATCAAAGGCCCATTGAAAGGCTCCATAGTCTTCCTGTAATTGCCCACACTTCTCCCAAGTTCTGGAGTACACCCCTCCTACTCTCCCAGTACCTCAAATTGGAGATGGATAATACAAGCAAAGGCTTTTAAAGGGTGTTGGAAGATTAGAATTGCATTGTATTTATGAAGGATAATGTTTTTGTTACAACATGAAAATTTGGTTAATGGAAGAAAATTCTAGAGGCAAGTAGGATAATTACATAGTCTTAGTAAAAAAATATGGTGGGGGGTCTAGATAAAAGTAAGATAAGAAACTGAAAAAAAAAGTTAGGAACATTCTATATAATTTTCAGAGCCCTCTTAGCTCTTAATCACAAGCCTTTCAATTTTCCATGTGCCACAGGAAAGGAGGTAATGATCAAGTATTGAGAAAGTTTTTCTTGATCATTCAATGTGAATTTCAAACACTCCCTCAGTGCACAAACAATAGACAAGACATCAAGAGAAAAAGGCATACATGAAAAGAAAAATTAATCTCTGCTCGTGTGTTCCATCACACTGTTTGGATTTTCTCTCTATTACACATTACATCAGCATCACCCAATTATTTTGTTGCCTCCTGGGTTAGAGCTCCTTCATAGCAGGGACCATATTGTTATTCATTCATTCAGCCATTCATTCATGCATTAATTTATCCACTCAATAAGCCTGTATTAAGAACCAATATGTACAATGCTAGGTGTTGAAAATTCAGAGATAAAAAACAATTTTCTGCCTCAAAGAAGAGAGGGAAACAGTTGGGTAGATTACATAGGTTTTATGATGCAGTGTGAAATGTTATGCTACAGGTAAATGGGACAGGGTGCCGGGGATGGAAATTTTCCTTACCTTATAAACTTGGCAGTAGTGGAGGAATATAAACTTGTAGATGAACTTTGAAACTTGAAATTTCCAAGATCAGGTATAAGAATCTAGAGTGGAGCATACTTAGGCAGGGGTCTATAGGATGAGGCATGAAGTGTTTGTATTACTAGTGCCAAGTTAAATACATGACACACCGTAGGAATTTTTAAAATTCAGACATAAACTACTGAGGGTATTGGATAGAATTACCAAGAGTAAATCTGCACTCCCAAATCTTCAAAGCAAATTCTGTCTTCTAAATTATTCCCCTAGGCGTGGTTCCAGTTCTTGCTGCTAGTTTGTGTCTATAGACCTTTTTCATTGGCTGTTCTTACAGGCTGAACTTCTGAAATAGACCATCTTGTACTTCATCTGACCTTCTCTACTCTTTTTGAGGAAATATAAAATATTACTAGCTGAGGAGGGTTGTGTATAGGCTAATTTGCAGTTGTCTGCATTTTAGGGAGACAAGGAACTGGCTTTTTTAAATTTTTTTTTTTTTTTTTTTTTTTTGGTACTGGGGATTGAACCCAGGAGGACTTAACCACTGAGACACATCTCCAGTCCTTTTATTTTATTTTATTTTTTATTTTTATATGGATTCACACTAAGTTGATGAGGGCCTTGCTAAATTGCTGAGTCTGGCCTTACACTTATGATCCACCTGCCTCAGCCTTCTGAGTCACTGGGATTACTTGTGTGTGCTACCACACTCTGCTTGGCTGGCCATTTCTACTAATTTCCAGTGAGCAATAGAGACAAAACAATTAATTGGAAGAAAGGTGGCAGAAAACAAAACGAAGGTTTAACCGTGCATTTGCAGTTTTCAATTGAGATAAACTTCTAGGCTATGTTTCCCCATTCTAAAAAGAAAAAAAGAAAAAAGAAAAAGAAAAAAGCTTTTGTATTTTTTTAAGATTTAATTATTCCTAAGGCTACTTCCAGACCAAATGTTATGCTAAGTTTTAGGATGAAATGTATCATTTTGTTTTCATGTTCATCTTTGACACGTTTTGTGTCACATTATTCTCCCTGAATATGCACAGGAGTATCAAAAGAGTTTAACATGTTATTATGCATTCCTAAACTTTTTTGGCAGTGTATGTGAGACTTTATTATTCATTCTTTAACAGAATGAAGTAATAGAAACCCAGCTTGAACTTCCACCCATAGAAAGGAAAGGAGGAGGGGCAGTGTATTGAGTCACATAACTGAGAAGTCGAGGGGCAAATCTGCTTGGGGACAGGCTGCATTCAT